TCAGGAATTCTTGTTGTCTTCACCACCAAATCGTACAACCTGGAATGTGGAGGCGCAAAGTTGGATGGCAAAGAATACTATTTTTCACAGGACCATCGCTTCTTGATTTGACAAAAAATGAAATCGTGTCATTACAGCCCCCAGGAAAGAAGGAACATACTCCAGAAACAACTAAACCACCATAACATCGACCTGGACCTCGATATTAATGAGCTCTGTGACACAAGAGATTCTTTGTTTGGCTTTCCCCTGATATGTACTCTGTTTTGTGAATTTTCTGAGTTTTCAAAAAGAACCTGCAAAATTTTTCCTAGAACCCCTATTTTATCTACGGCGAGAAATTGACATGATCATGGAACGTAGAAACGACCAGTCCGCTGCTCTGATCCTGATGTTGTTGTGTGAAGATCATCTGAACTTGAGCCAGGTAGAAATGGAATCTAAAAATCATGTTTTAGAAGCTAATCTGCAGGCTGTAAAAATTGTGGTGTCAGTAACGTCACGGACTGCAGTTGCCAAAGCCATCAGGTGTTACAGGGGAACATTTTTCACGGATGGAGATATCCTTGGATTTTCACATCCCACCATCTATGACGCCTGTGCGTGTGCCCTATTCAAAATGAATCCATCCTTCGTTCTGAACCACTGCAGTATCAGATTCCTTTATGAGCGGGTACAGGCCCAACAAGTCCAGTCCACTGCAATAGATAATCACCTCCACATCATCTACGTCTCAGATGCTTACTATGACACAATTGCCTCCAGACTGGCTGATGCTGTTGCCAAAGGCAACTACAGTATATCTATTACACATCCTATTTTGAAAAACAAGCAAATAGTGGACAAAGTGTTCCAGATGCTCAAACTGAAGAAATCAAATACATTGAAGCGGTTGCTGAATACGAAGGACACAAAAAGCTTGCCATGTTACATGCAAAAGGAAGAAGGGAAGCACTTACTGTACTGGGCAGTTCATGCACATAGTCAGTACTTGGTTGAGAAAATCCTTGATGTTGGATACGGTTTTCAGACAACGAGATCAAGGAAGCCTTCAAGGCCTGTGCTTCCTGTGGGAACGAAGCAGTGTTGTTGCTGTTATCTGACAAATATAAGTCACTGCTTCATCAAAGTGTGCTCAATGAAGCTCTAGTCACTGCCACAGACAATAATTACAAAGACGTTGCATTGGCCTTACTTAACGCAGGAGCTGATATCTATGAATCAAAAAATGATGTTGGTGAAAATGTCTTTCAAATTGCTAGGATGAAGGAGTTCCATCTACTTGGAAGAGAATTTATGGGATTTATTACCAAAGGATTAAACATCAAACATCTGACTGGAGACTTCGACTTTCAGAGAGCAGCTTATTCAGCCTTGTGTTACAGCTGTAGTGTAGGGGATGTAAGACTTTCACAATTCTTCCTTCCAGTCACTGAGATTAATGCAAGATATCCTAAGGGCAAAACTCTCCCATTCTTTCACATTAATTGTCTAGGACACGTGGGTCTAACGCCAGTGATGGAAGCAGCTTTGCATGGGAAGAAGGATGTTTTCGACCTGCTCGTGTCAAAGGGAGCTGATCTTACACTAAGAGATGACTACAATAACACCCTCCTTCATCTAGCATGTGTAGGTGGAAATAGTGGCATTGTAGAAGATCTGCTTCCACTGTTTGACATCAATTGTCGGGGACAAGAGGGTTTGACAACTTTGATGGTAGCAGCTTGGTATGGGAAGAAGGATGTTTTCGACCTGCTCGTGTCAAAGGGAGCTGATCTCACACTAAGAGATGATAACAATAACACCCTCCTTCATCTAGCATGTGTAAGGTGGAAATAGTGGCATTGTAGAAGATCTGCTTCCACTGTTTGACATCAATTGTCGGGGACAAAGAGGATTTGGACACCTTTGATGGCAGCAGCTAGGTATGGGAAGAAGGATGTTTTCGACCTGCTCGTGTCAAAGGGAGCTGATCTCACACTAGAGATGATAACAATAACACCCTCCTTCATCTGGCATGTGCAGGTGGAAATAGTGGCATTGTAGAAGATCTGCTTCCACTGTTTGACATCAATTGTCGGGGAGAAGAAAGATTTGACACCTTTGATGGCAGCAGCTTGGCATGGGAAGAAGGATGTTTTCGACCTGCTCGTGTCAAAGGGAGCTGATCTCACACTAGAGATGACAAAAATAACACCCATCTTCATGTGGCATGTAGGTGGAAATAGTGGCATTGTAGAAGATCTACTTCCACTGTTTGACATCAATTGTCGGGGAAAAGAGGGTTTGACACCTTTGATGGCAGCAGCTTGGTATGGGAAGAAGGATGTTTTCGACCTGCTCGTGTCAAAGGAGCTGATCTCACACTAAGAGATGACAAAAATAACACCCTCCTTCATGTGGCATGTGTAGGTGGAAATAGTCCCATTGTAGAAGATCTGCTTCCACTGTTTGACATCAATTGTCGGGGAAAAGAGGGTTTGACACCTTTGATGGCAGAAGCTTTGTATGGGAAGAAGGATGTTTTCGACCTGCTCGTGTCAAAGGGAGCTGATCTCACGCTAAAGATGACTACAGTAGAAATGCCCTTCATGTGGCATGTCAAGGTGGAAATAGTGGCATTGTAGAAGATCTGCTTCCACTGTTTGACATTAATTGTCGGGGACATGAGGGTTTGACACCTTTGATGGTAGCAGCTTTGCATGGGAAGAAGGATGTTTTCGACCTGCTCGTGTCAAAGGGAGCTGATCTCACACTAAAGATGACTACAGTAGAAATGCCCTTCATCTGGCATGTCAGGGTGGAAATAGTGGCATTGTAGAACATCTGCTTCCACTGTTTGACATCAATTGTCGGGGACAAGAGGGTTGGACACCTTTGATGGTAGCAGCTTTGCATGGGAAGAAGGATGTTTTCGTCCTGCTCGTGTCAAAGGGAGCTGATCTCACACAAAAAGATGACTACAGTAGAAATGCCCTTCATGTGGCATGTCAGGGTGGAAATAGTGGCATTGTAGAAGATCTGCTTCCACTGTTTGACATCAATTGTCTGGGAAAAGAGGGTTTGACACCTTTGATGGCAGCAGCTTTGCATGGGAAGAAGGATGTTTTCGACCTGCTCGTGTCAAAGGGAGCTGATCTCACACTAAAAGATGACTACAGTAGAAATGCCCTTCATCTGGCATGTCAGGGTGGAAATAGTGGCATTGTAGAAGATCTGCTTCCACTGTTTGACATCAATTGTCGGCTGAGGGCACAGTCGGATCTTATACCAGTGATGATAGCAGCTATCTTTGGCAAGAGAGATGTTTTCGATCTCCTCAAGACAAAGGGAGCTGATCTCACACTAAAGATGACAAAAGTAACACCCTCCTTCATCTAGCATGTGCAGGTGGAAATAGTCCCATTGTAGAAGACCTGCTTCCACTGTTTGACATCAATTGTCGAGGACAAGAGGGTTTGACACCTTTGATGGTAGCAGCTTGGTATGGGAAGAAGGATGTTTTCGACCTGCTCGTGTCAAAGGGAGCTGATCTCACACTAAGAAATGATAACAATAACACCCTCCTTCATCTAGCATGTGCAGGTGGAAATAGTGGCATTGTAGAAGATCTGCTTCCACTGTTTGACATCAATTGTCGAGGACAAGAGGGTTTGACACCTTTGATGGTAGCAGCTAGGTATGGGAAGAAGGATGTTTTCGACCTGCTCGTGTCAAGGGAGCTGATCTCACACTAAGAGATGATAACAATAACACCCTCCTTCATCTAGCATGTGTAGGTGGAAATAGTGGCATTGAAGAAGATCTGCTTCTGCTGTTTGACATTAATTGTCTGGGGAAAAGAGGGTTTGACACCTTTGATGGTAGCAGCATGGTATGGGAAGAAGGATGTTTTCGACCTGCTCGTGTCAAAGGGAGCTGATCTCACACTAAGAGATGATAACAATAACACCCTCCTCTCATCTAGCATGTGCAGGTGGAAATAGTGACATTGTAGAAGATCTGCTTCCACTGTTTGACATTAATTGTCAGGGAGATGAGGGTTGGACACCTTTGATGGCAGCAGCTTTGTATGGGAAGAAGGATGTTTTCGACCTGCTCGTGTCAAAGGGAGCTGATCTCACACTCAAGAGATGATAACAATAACACCCTCCTTCATCTAGCATGTGCGAGGTGGAAATAGTGGCATTGAAGAAGATCTGCTTCCACTGTTTGACATTAATTGTCGGGGAAAGTGGGTTGGACACCTTTGATGGTAGCAGCTTTGCATGGGAAGAAAGATGTTGTCGACCTGCTCGTGTCAAAGGGAGCTGATCTCACACTAAAGATGACTGCAGTAGAAATGCCCTTCATCTGGCATGTGAGGGGTGGAAATTGTGGTATTGTAGAAGATCTGCTTCCACTGTTTGACATTAATTGTCTCTGGGGAAAGTGGGTTTGACACCTTTGATGGCAGCAGCTTGGGATGGGAAGAAGGATGTTTTCGACCTGCTCGTGTCAAAAGGTGCTGATCTCACACTAAAAGATGACTGCAGTAGAAATGCCCTTCATCTGGCATGTCAGGGTGGAAATAGTGGCATTGTAGAAGATCTGCTTCCACTGTTTGACATCAATTGTCGGGCACAGTCGGATCTTATACCAGTGATGATAGCAGCTATCTTTGGCAAGAGAGATGTTTTCGATCTCCTCAAGACAAAGGAGCTGATCTCACACTAAGAGATGACAAAAGTAACACCCTCCTTCATCTAGCATGTCGAGGTGGAAATAGTCCCATTGTAGAAGACCTGCTTCCACTGTTTGACATCAATTGTCGGGGACAAGAGGGTTTGACACCTTTGATGGTAGCAGCTTGGTATGGGAAGAAGGATGTTTTCGACCTGCTCGTGTCAAAGGGAGCTGATCTCACACTAAGAGATGATAACAATAACACCCTCCTTCATCTAGAATGCGAGGTGGAAATAGTGGCATTGTAGAAGATCTGCTTCCACTGTTTGACATTAATTGTCGGGGAGATGAGGGTTGGACACCTTTGATGGCAGCAGCTTTGCATGGGAAGAAGGATGTTGTCGACCTGCTCGTGTCAAAGGGAGCTGATCTCACACTTAAAGATGACTGCAGTAGAAATGCCCTTCATCTGGCATGTGAGGGTGGAAATAGTGGCATTGTAGAAGATCTGCTTCCACTGTTTGACATCAATTGTCGGGGAGAAGAGGGTTGGACACCTTTGATGGCAGCAGCTTTGCATGGGAAGAAGGATGTTGTCGACCTGCTCGTGTCAAAGGGAGCTGATCTCACACTTAAAGATGACTGCAGTAGAAATGCCCTTCATCTGGCATGTGAGGGTGGAAATAGTGGCATTGTAGAAGATCTGCTTCCACTGTTTGACATCAATTGTCGTTCACAGAGGGATATTATACCAGTGATGGTAGCAGCTTTCTATGGCAGAGAGATGTTTTCGATCTCCTCAAGACAAAGGAGCTGATATCACACTAAGAGATGACAAAGTAACACCCTCCTTCATCTAGCATGTGTAGGTGGAAATAGTCCCATTGTAGAAGACCTGCTTCCACTGTTTGACATCAATTGTCGGGGACAAGAGGGTTGGACACCTTTGATGGTTGCAGCTTGGTATGGGAAGAAGGATGTTTTCGACCTGCTCGTGTCAAAGGGAGCTGATCTCACACTAGAGATGATAACAATAACACCCTCCTTCATCTAGCATGTGCAGGTGGAAATAGTGACATTGTAGAAGATCTGCTTCCACTGTTTGACATTAATTGTCGGGGACATGAGGGTTTGACACCTTTGATGGAAGCAGCTAGGTATGGGAAGAAGGATGTTGTCGACCTGCTCGTGTCAAAGGGAGCTGATCTCACACTCAAGAGATGACAAAATAACACCCTCCTTCATGTGGCATGTCGAGGTGGAAATAGTGGCATTGTAGAAGATCTGCTTCCACTGTTTGACATTAATTGTCGGGGAAAGTGGGTTGAACACCTTTGATGGCAGCAGCTTTGTGTGGGAAGAAGGATGTTGTCGACCTGCTCGTGTCAAAGGAGCTGATCTCACACTAAAAGATGACTGCAGTAGAAATGCCCTTCATGTGGCATGCCAGGTTGGAAATAGTGGCATTGTAGAAGATCTGCTTCCACAGTTTGACATAAATTGTCTGGAAAAAGTGGGTTTGACACCTTTGATGGTAGGAGCTTTGCTTTGGGATGGGAAGAAGGATGTTTTCGACCTGCTCGTGTCAAAGGGAGCTGATCTCACACTAAAAAGATGACTGCAGTAGAAATGCCCTTCATCTGGCATGTCAGGGTGCAAATAGTGGCATAGTAGAAGATCTGCTTCCACTGTTTGACATCAATTGTCGGGCACAGTCGGATCTTATACCAGTGATGATAGCAGCTATCTTTGGCAAGAGAGATGTTTTCGATCTCCTCAAGACAAAGGGAGCTGATCTTACACTAAGAGATGACAACAATGACACCCTCCTTCATCTAGCATGTGCAGGTGGAAATAGTCCCATTGTAGAAGATCTGCTTCCACTGTTTGACATCAATTGTCGGGGACAAAGAGGGTTGGACACCTTTGATGGCAGCAGCTAGGTATGGGAAGAAGGATGTTGTCGACCTGCTCGTGTCAAAGGGAGCTGATCTCACACTCAGAGATGACAACAATGACACCCTCCTTCATGTGGCATGTCAGAGTGGAATAGTCCCATTGTAGAAAATCTGCTTCCATTCTTTGATATTAATTGTCGGGGACAAGACGGCTTTACACCATTAATGAATGCAGCTTTCTATGGAAAACACAATATTTGGGAACTCCTTGTGAAACGTGGAGGTAACTGTGTTTGTGTAGGTGATGATAATCACACAACACTACACACTGCATGTAGAGGTGGAAACATGTTGATTGTTGAAGATGTCATAGGCGATTTTGACATTGACACAAGAGGTTTTTCACGGTCGGACACCGCTCCTGGAGAGAGCTAGAGGAGGCCACATTCCTGTAGTTGACTTCCTTGTGGCCCCCGAGACGCTGACGACAAAATAGTGAACGATATTGGGAAAAGCTTGCTACACGTTGCTTGTGTAGGTGGGCACCTTGGAGATATTGATGACAGACACATTTGGGTGGACTCCTGCAATGGTAGCATCTATATTTGGAAAGTCTGCAGTGTTTGACTACCTGAGACTACAAGGTGCAGATCTGACACTGGTTGATGAGACTGGAGATGATTTGTTCACTCTCGCCCTTCAGGGAGGATGTAGACAAATCATAGAACGATTATCACCTGATGGACAATATGTGAAGAAGCAGAATCCCTGGACTACACTGATGAGATCGGTAGTGACTGGATCTTTTGAAAAGTTGAAAGTTTGCCATGACAACAGTCCTGAGCTTGTTCAGACAGACCAGTTTGGAGACAGTCTGCTTCATCTGGCTTGTCGTGGAGGCAACAGGAAAGGTGCAGAGTATCTGCTCCCGTCCTATGACATCAATGTCCGACACCGGTGAGGATGGCGGCTGTGTGTGGACATGAGGATGTCTTCCAGCTACTGGTGGACCACAAGGCTGATCTTGCCTTGCTCTCAGACCCACAAGAGAATGCATCCTTACTCTGGCTCAGAGAGGGCAAAGCAATGACATTGTGGAATGCTTGAGGAATATGTCAGGAAATTAATGAATGAGAAAGATTTGTAAAAAGGGTGGGCAGCCGATGGACTTTCCTAATAACTTAAGAATGTCAAGAATCATTCTGGACATCATAGATTCTTAAATATACTGATACACTGTAAAATGCACAATGAGTATGAACAAGAAGTCAGCAAATGAATTTTGTACACAATAGATAACACTTCAAATGAAACCTGTAATACGACATTGTTGATTTTGATGATCTTATGCCTAAATAAGCAGAACAATCTGATGTTTGTGAGGTCAAATTTGTCAAATAAATACAAAGGATATAGTATGTATTTTCAAAGCGTCTCAGTATGCAACTTGAATATGCCCACTTATCTTAAGTGATTGTTTGGAAGATAATACCTTCTTGTACTGTATTTTCAAGTATTTGACACTTGACTTATTGGTGTTCCGCAGCTATTGGTACCAATTGTAATCAGATGTTGTAGATATGTAAATACATGTCTATATCGTTTTGAGACATACTGCTGCAGTACATAGGTGTTGCTTTTACTCCTTGCTATTTAACTATGCCTTGACTAGTTTGATGGTTGCAAATGGGGGAAATTGAAAATGGTGTACATTCAGTAATTACTAGATATTTATTTTATGTCAAGACATGCTTCCTTCGGCAACTCTGGGTACCAACTAATGCCGTGTAATCAGATGTTGTAGATATGTAAATATTCGTCTTTGTAATTATTTGACACAGTTTGTTCATTCCTGGAGAATTTCTGATTTCAGACATTTCAGATGTTCACCAAATATTTGACATCATGCATTGACGATATTTGCTGTTTGCAAATGGTTTATAACGAAAACAATTCACATTCTGTAATTGCTGGAGTTTTTCACGCCAACGAATGCTTTGTTTGGCGGCTGTGGGTAGCAGCTCTTGGCCTATAATCAGATGCTGTAGATATGTCCATAGATGTCTATATACATTGTTTGACATAGTTTGTTCATTCCTGAAGAAATACGATGAACTGAGGGACTCGTATTTCAGCTGTTCACTAAATATTTGACGTAATGCATAGACTATACTTTCTGGTTTTAAATCGGAAATATTGTAAATAATTCACATTTTATTTATTACATGCTCATTTTAAGACATGCGTCTTTTCTTGTTATCGATGTTGATCGTCCTTAGTATGGTAATCTACCTTCAGTTGTTGGCAATCTATGGCCTGTTTTATATTGTATTGTCATGTATAGTTAAAATATTTTAGATGTAACTACTAGTTGTATATTTATATGTTATAATCTAGTTGTTTTACTGTCCTTCGTTGACAGAATTTTATGATTTACATTTAATTGTTAATATATTTTATCTTGATTTAGTCACGATATGTCTGAAATATTGCCGATGTGACTTAAAAATCTAAACTCCCTCACTCACTCACTCCTCTCATATGTTGATCACTGGTTTTCAGTTACGCACGTTGATGTAACTGACGTGTTAAGACGCCTGACAACCCAAAGGTCTGTCTGCCAGTCTGCCTGTCTGTTGAATTCCATTCATAACTTCTCTCACTCTTTAAACGTTGTCAAAAGGCAGGTCTGTACATATCGATGTGTTTTAGGAGTCGGAGAAAGACACAACCCGACGTCTGTCTGTGTGTATGTCTGCTTGCCTGCCTACCTGTCTGTCTGTGTGTCTGTCTGTGTGTGTCTGTGTGTCTGTCTGCCTGCCTGCCTGCCTGCCTGTCTGTCTGTGTGTCTGTGTGTCTGTCTGCCTGCCTGCCTGCCTACCTGTCTGTCTGTGTGTCTGTCTGTGTGTCTGTGTGTCTGTCTGCCTGCCTGCCTGCCTGCCTGTCTGTCTGTGTGTCTGTGTGTCTGTCTGCCTGCCTGCCTGCCTACCTGTCTGCCTGCCTGCCTGCCTGTCTGTGTGTCTGTCTGTCTGTGGAAATGTTGTAAATTATTCACATCTTATTTATTACATGCTCATTTTAAGACATGCGTCTTTGCTTGTTATCCGATGTTGATCATGGAATATATACATGTGATATAATATAATGCAAATGGTAATAGGTCCATTGACCCTACGTTTGTCTGTCCGTCCGCCTGTCGAATTCCATTCATAACTTTGTCTGTGTACATGTCGATGTGTTCTGGGAGTCGGAGAAAGATATTTTCTTTCTTCCTTTTTTTAATGGCATTAAAGAAGTTGTGAGTTAACTTTGGACAATTAGACTGGTCGACTATCGTACAGATTGTTAAGATACTCATTGTACAGTTACAGATTTGATATTGTACATAGACGTATTTAGATGTTGCATTGTATATATGTGCTCCTTTTACCCAAGACATGATCAGCATCAGCGCTACGACAGCCGTAACTCACACCGTTTAACATTGACTTACGACTGTCGTAACTCCGACACTTTAACTTATAGACTTACGACTGTCGGAGCGCTACGATCGCTTTGAGGAACGGGGCCAGACCCTTAAATATATATCTACATTATTGGTAATAATTGTGAATTGTTCACAAAGTATAATTTCTTTTTCAATGTTTAAGGAACTATTATATGAGAAAGGTGTCCTGTTGTAATCTCACCTGTATAAATTTAAAACTATAAGTTCAGAACTCCTTTTAATGTTTAATGGAACTATTATATGCATTCCATAGAAATTGTGTACCTCTGCTTCAGTAACTGTAATCTCACCTGTATAAATTTAAATGAAAATTTAATATAGTTTTACTTCATATAGAACTCCTGAAGGAAAAGTTTTATGTATTATTTCATATTTTAATGATGAATAATTGTGTGTTAAATACTGAATGTCCTATATTGTTTACTTGTTTACTGATTTTGTTTGTTTGTGTGTTTTGTGTGTGTGTGTATGTGTGTGTGTGTGTGTGTGTGTGTGTGCGTGTGTGTGTGTGTGTGTGTGTGTGTCTCCTAGTATTTGTATCGTCTATTCAAAGAAATGTCTGAGTTTATGTATTTCTACGTATGTGGCCAGACACCACCCTGAGCGTCTGCTCTGTTTCTGTAACAGAGAGTCAGAAATAAATACATTAACCGTGTTATGCATTTTGTGTTATTGACTTCAAGCTGACTGGCTGCTACTGAATGGTAGCTTGCAGAGTTGTTTACCATGTGTACAAGAATGTAATGAATCGATATGATAACCGAACTTCCTGACATTGACGGATTCAAGATTTGTTTTCCGTTCTTTCATTAATGTGAACTAT